ACTGAGAATATCAAGTGTGGGCCTTACAGACAAAAGTCTTTGAGTTTTTCAAGGAAGGAAAATGAATATCTGAGTGTCACAGAGGAGAGATAAATGAGTCTCAGCCCCTCATTCTTTTCTTTTTGTTCTCAGTGTCAGGGCAGAGCCAAGAGGAGAAGGAAAGGTGGAACATCGAAAGGTAAAATTCTGCCTATTCCACCTGATCTCTCCAAGGGTGACCCTTCCTGTCCTTTCCATGAGGTCCCATGTCCATGATCTCTGAGGACGTCACTTGCTAGATACAGTCCCTGTCAGAACCCAGAGCTCTCAGAGTAGAGGTTCATGGGAAGGCAGTTGGAGCCTGAGACACTTCTCAGATTCCCTGCTCTGCCCATCGCTGGGCTTCAAGCAGTAATGGACCTGGGCAATGGGTGTTTCCCAGCAGGTGGCCATGTGAGATGTTGAGAGTCAGAACTTCTGTGTCCTGGATGATCAGATTGCTCTCTGAGGCAACACTGATTTCTGTGCTTCACATGGTGATTTTGAGCATCACATGAGATAGTATATATGAAAGTACTTTTCAAATGAAGCAGCATACGTAGGTGAACTTTGTTAATATCACTGACCATTTGACCTCATCTACTAACCCTTGAGTCTCTCAGAGTGTAGTATCCCAAGAGTTTCCCATAAAGGGACTCCTATATAATACCTATTCTTCTACCTTCCTTACATATAATTCACTCTCCTGGTTCCTCAGGTTGGAGATGTCACCAGAGAGAAACAGAGGAGAAAACGAGGCTGATTTCTATTCTGAAAAGGTGACTAGTCTTTCCCCTTCTTTCCTGACCCCTCTTTAGCATGTTCTATGTAATTCCAGGGATTCAGTGCAGCCTGCTGTAGTCATAGGAAGGGGTAGCATAGGAGTAGGTATGTGAATAAAGACCTTCAGGTGAGTACAATTGAGCATATTGTGATGTCATGAATGTGGAGCGGTGTGAAGAGGCAGCAGGCATCAAGTGACGCCACCCCTGCCAAGTCAGCAGATCCTTTTCCCGTTGTTCTGGTCCTGGTTGCATCTTT